GTGGTCCCTGTCCCGTGCCAGCTCTGCGTTGTCCCTGGGAGTTTTTGGGAGGAGGGCTAATCTGTCCCAGACCAAAGCTGTGCCACTGGTTCTTCAGGCGTTTCAACAGTACAGACTCTCACCTCCAGCGTCCAGACAGACTTCCTGGCACTGGTTAAAGTACCAGTGTGGATGTACCTGTGACGGATTGCAGGGGAAAGCAGGAGAAGGAGGGGAGATCCCTCCTGCACAACCCCCTGTGCTTTGCACTCCTGTGGTTAACTCCAGCCTGTATGATTTCCACAGGCCTTGTTAGCCATCACGCTGTCTCTACTGACCATAGCAGAAGTGGTGGTCAACAAACACTTTGAAGCCTCATGACTGTTTTTGGGCACAAGTCTTTTCCCGCGTCATACATATCATGACATATATGACTTGGGAAAAGACCTTACCTTCACTAAGGTACCTCTAGTACTTGGAATTAACACCAGACAAAACAAAGACACCGACAGTAGGACATGAAAGATAAAAGTCTGTTCTGCAAGAACTGCTGTGAGTTGCATAACCTAGCTTCAAGCATGATCCTTTTTGATAGTTCAGCAAATTATGGGAGTCTTTGTCTCTTGCTTTCATTACTGATTCTCCTCATTAGAGCATTCCCAGCAAGCGGAGGTCACTGTCCCCATTATGCTGGATGCTATATATGCACATAGTCATTCCTGTCCCAAAGATCTTGTCCAGATAGACAGGACAGAGTTCAGAGAAGTCGCGTCTAAAGTGTTGATGTTCTGATGGCAGCGGAGTCTCTCTCCAAGTCAGAACTCGTTTACTCTCTTGAAGTCCACATGCTAGCAGTCATGTCATGGGGGTTTGTGACAGCCTTTCTTCGGTAAGGGTTTTGATTGCTTTCTGTGTCTGGAAACAAAGAGAATTTCCACCAATAGAGTCTGTGAATCAGCACAACAGTATGGCAGGAATTTTAAACAATGTGGCGCTGCTTTTCCATTACAGAAAAAGAGACTAATTAGAGGATGATTAATTACATGGATTCAGTGCCTGATTGTCTGTGAAAAGATGGGGTAGGAAGGTTCTTCCTTTAATCTTGTTATTTCAGAATAGTTGCTTGATTTTTCTCTTTCTGCTCCTGGCCTGGAGTTAAATATAGTGGTAGTTATGCACTGTAACAATTCATTTGCTTCTCAAGAAATAGAAGTCCTTGTTTCTATCTCTGCCTGAGGCATTTTGCATTTTACCTCTCTAGTTTTCTAAAGACAGTTGTGTCTCATATGATCAAACAGCAGTGGATCAAACAGTTTGCCTAGCATTGCAACACTGAAAAGCAGGTTTTGAGACAAAGACCACATATTATCTGCTCTGTTCTCTGTAAAAGACTTCTGTCTAACCAAGGTCTTGAAATAATCCAGCACAATAAAAGGAGATTTACATGATCCCCTTCCAGACTTTGAAAAATCATCCCCTGATGAATTTTTGGCTAAAAGCACACTACCAAAGAAAACCCACCCCACCCCCGCCTCCTCCAAAAAACCTCACAGCCTACTGGACTGCATCTTTTGAGGGTATGTTGTGACTGTGCTGAGTGGTTTTGTTGCTGTGGTTGACACAGAAAATAATATAGAGCCACATGGGAGTAGAGAATTCAGGAAGCTGTGCCATCTGATCAGGTTAATGAGCTGTATTTACTGCTGCCCCTTCTGGGCAGTGCACCTAGTTCTCAGGCAGTGCACCTAGTTCAAAATCATGCTTCCTCCATATGATCTGTGCGTATATTTACGTATTGTTCATCTGGTTATTGTAGTTTCTGTTATTTATGACCAAAACTTTATGACATGGGCACTGATTCATTCAGTATTTGTTTATGCCAAGAAGGGAGGCATCAGATCAGCTAAAGAAAGCTAGGCTTCAGAAATACCAGCCTTAACATGTTTTGTTTATTACACAGCAAAGAGAACAAGAACATGTCTTGGCAATGTGATCACAGGTGTGATATCTCTTGGATATCAGAGTTTGCAGCAAACAAAAATGCCTGGGCTTAAATTAAATAATTTCTTCTATGTAGATGTGGAATTCAGGCAGAGGAAATATGCTGACAAGGTGCTTTGTAAGTTAGGTGGCATATGTCACCCACAGGGAATCATGCAAACTAGAGGCATCAGACGTCTTATCTAAATAAAAGAGAATATAATCTCCAGAATTACTTGAGGGATGAAATTTGAGGAGCTGCCTGCTGAAATGCAGCAGTAATACACAAGGTAGAGTTTAAGGTGCCAAGCTCTGGGACAGTGGCCCTGCTCTGTCCATCAGTTGGCCTGTTTAGGTATTTCCTAGTTTTAGATATCTGTGTTGAGGCAGTGATTTTACAACATTAGCCTTGGTTAAAACTGGTCGTTTTCAGATTCCATTTGGGAGTCACACCCTTTGGGAGTCACAAAAAGACTGGGCCTCAAGAATGGTTTTACCTCGAAAGGTTTTGACCGTCTGTGCCGCAGAAAATTCAGGCTGACCCTTGTTCACTTTATGGCCGGTTCATGGTGAATGTAGTTTGTCTCAGCCTGGGCAGTAGAGTCATAAGTTTCTCTCAGCTTTTAATAAGGTGAACATAAAAAAGAAACCCTTGGAATCACGCAGTTTTTCTTAATAATAGTGCAATCCTTAGCTGAGGGTGCTGGAGCTCTTGAAGTACCTGTGGTTTTAACATTCAAACAATGTGCACTAGGGATGGAGTAATAAAGTGTCTCAGAGATGTTGATTCTTCTGTTGATCATGTTCCCCATGGTCCCAGCCAGTTACCCTAATCAGTTGCTTCCCAAATTACGGAAGAGCTCAGCTTTGCTTTAGCTGCCTGCTTTGACTGTCTGCAGAAGGTCCCACCAATTGTTGTGCCATGTAGTAGAGGCATTTACAGTATCTCTCCTAAGGCTGCTGGTGACCAAAGAGAGAAAGGGAGAAATCACAGTCCCATTTAGTCAACAGAAGTTATCCCAGTGGCTTTGCCGGGGTCTGGATAACCCTGTCAAGATGTCCTCATTGCCTGGCAGTGAGGAAGATATGAACCACAAAAAGAATGGAAGGACCAAAAAATACCTGACGTGAAATGAGGTGAGACTCCAGGGGCTGCTTACTTTCCTTAGACTCCCTCTGTGGTATCATGTTCCAGTGAGTGGAGCTGCTGGAGAGCTGCTCTAGCAAACCCCTTGCAGTCATCAGGGGCTCAAATGAGAAGCTTCAGGGAATCCTGCCAGAGAGGAACTGCTGCTGTCTGTTCCTGTAGTCATGTCTCCATTTGCTCCTTGCCATTTACCACGAGGTGGTTATGGGTGCTGTGACCAACAGAGAGCATCCAGCCCATCCTCCTGGTTGGAGGGACTGTGCCACCTCTTGATGTGCTCAGCACATGTGCTGCCAACTCCTTTCTTCTTTAAGAATCACTTGACCAGACTTTTTTATCCTTACAAGTCCTCTAAGAGTGAACTAAGTAAAACTATTTGAAGGGGATTTTAGCACTGAGGAAAGGTTTAGTTCCTTTGGAATAACTCCTGTACCTTAATTTCATCTTCTAGTACATTTGTAGCTTCCCTTTGGCTGAGGCAGAGGCAGTTTTACTGCTGGCACAGTTACAGCCTAGTGGGCTGATTCAGTTGATACTCAAGTTTGGTAAAAACAGTTCTTGTAACAGTGCTTGTAAATGGTTAAACAGTTCAATCATTTCACTGCCTGAGATGCTACAGTCGTAGAGTAAGTGTATCACACTAGAGCTGGGGTCTGGCAAGGAGATACCCGTATATTACTACAAACCTACCTCTTCATCTTTGGCTCCTGGTCCCCTGTTTAAAAGGTTTTGCTTGCACTGCTTATGCTTTAGCTTTCTTGATTTTCTATGCTACAGTTAAAGAGGTGGAGCCTTTTGCAAGTGGTGTATTTTGTAAGCATATACGAGGTAAGCATTTTATCAGAGGCTTCGCTTTTGTAGCTGGTCATTACACAGCTGATTATCTGCGTGGGTTGGGTTTTGACTGCTTAACAATTATTTATCGATCAGGCCTTTGGGCAATTAACTGTGTTTACTCCTTCTGGTATTTTGTTTGACCACTGTGCTCAGAGGACCAAAACAGGAGGCTGTTTTGATTCAGAGCAGAAATTTCTGTGGCCTGTAAAGACTTCTCTAGCTATGCTAATTTTTGCCGTCTCTGCTATATCTTTTAGAGATGTAACGACTCACAACCTTCTTTCCCTTTCCTCCACATATTCACTTTCCAAAGGCAGACACCTCTTGGAGTCACAAGACAATCTGTTACAAGTGCCCTCTCAAAATCTTTAACAGGTCCTATGGGAACACAGTTGGGCATGCGCAGCATGCTGTGTCTCTTGATAAAGGTCAAACAATGCAGGTAGAAAACATCCTTAACTGTCTCAGGTGTTTTGGGCTATTTCAGTACAAAATAGAGGGAAATGGTCACCAAAAAGAGTTGCTGTATATGGTCACAGATTGCAAAACTGCTTCAATTTCTTGGAAGCAAATGTGAACACAATATTTTTAAAGCCATTAGTTTTTGCAGTCTCTCATGATTGAGCGTGGGGGATGCTCAGTCTCAGTCTTGCGGGGGTGGGGATGAAGAGGAAGCAGAGCTGAATGTGAAAAATTTTACTACCCCATGAAAATTTCTGGGAAGAAAATCGTCCTGTCACGAATCAAAAGCATTTTTTTCCCTAACTAAAATTAACTTCTTTTTATTTTGATAGTTGCAAATTGCTTTTAATTTAGACATTTGAAAATGTGCTGTAAAATTAATTAACTTGTACGGTGAACTGAAAAACCCCATTACAAAAAGACAGTTCTGTTTGGTAACATTGAAACTTTTATGGAAAGCTCTTCCTAAAAGAGAATTCATCAAAGCTGATCCTTTCCTGCAGAAAGTTTTATTTTGCAAGACTGCATTTTCTTACAAAACAAAAAGCAGTTCAGAAATTCTCAAGATGTTACTGATGTTTTCTTTTCATTCCAGAGTTGAAGATGATTTAGAGAAACTCTTGAAAGTAACCACCAAACCAAAACCTAAGGTACCATCAAAACCACCACTGCCTCAGAAGCCAGCAGTTGCCCCCAGGAGCACCAGTTCATCTCCACTGGCAAAGCCAAAGGAAAACAGGATTCAGACAATGAATGAAGTGGACATTCTTCAGTATATCCAGGAAAATGAATCAATCAACAACGAAGATACAAGTCTTTTTTGAATATATGTATTTTTAAAATGTAATGATGCCTTCTTGGCCCAAACTCCCAGTGAGCTCAAATGACGGAGCAAGAGTTGACCAGATGTCTCTGCTGTCACAGTGCTCACTTGTGTACCAGGACACAGAGAGCAGGTTGACTAGCAGAGGCTCAACGGATGTTTTCAAAACAGTGCAGTTCTAGTATAACGTTGCCTTACATTTTCAGGGTTTTACAGGGAATGTGGACACCCACATAGCACTACAGGTTGTCTACTGCTGGTTTAGTATCGACATAGTACAGTTTTGGCCAGTTTAGTCCTGATTGAAAGTGGTAAGCGTGTTGCACACGTGGCAACTGTGAATAGTGTCCCACGGAGGCAAGACAGGATGCTGTTCCTGTCATTTTAGACAGTATATTTCAGCTCACTGGAAAGGTCATTTTCCTTTTATCCTGTGCACTGTTGTAGCAACCCTTTGCTCCCTGGCTGGTATTTCAGTAGTTTGCAACCCAGAACTGTCAAGTACAGGTAACAGTTCCTCTGTAGTTCCGAGAAACACTGAAATCCCAGCTAAGCCTGACAATCTGCTGCCTTTGTTGTTGCATAAATGCCAGCTTGTAAGAGAACTTGTAGGACGGCAAACGCTAGACGCTATGCATCGCTGGCCCCTGGGGAGTACAGCAAATGGCTGGGTGCAGCTCCAGGCATACACGGAGGTTGCAGTGTGTGGGTTTGGATGCTGTAGGATCTACTCAAGATTCACAAGGGCTAATTTTTTGCAGCCAAGTCTTCCTGGGCTTCCACTGTAGTTAGTGGAGAGAAGGAGATTTCTCCAGGAGGTGGATTCAGTGCAGGTATCCTAATGGAGGAACTCTGAATTGCTCTCTCGAGTCACTTGCTCTCTTTTTCTCCTTCCCTTCTCCCAGAACTTAAAGAAGCC